TAGCTAAAAGCACACGCAAAATTCACCATAACCAGTTACTGATGACCAAATTTGGAGAAATTTTGTGTTTAACGAGGAAATGACGTCAAAAATGCAGCCCGCTACAGGCTAAGGCACCGTTACCGAGAAGACCTGGGGACAAGGTTGAGTTGTTTTGGTTGTGAAAAAGAAAGTGGCGGACGCTTCACTCGTTTCAAGAGTAAGAACTACAGCTGAAACTAGGCGAAATGATAGCTAAAAACATAGCAAAAACAGCAAGAAGACAACTCGCTCGGAGGGCGACATCTTCTATGTGGCGAAGGCGGAGCTGGACAAACCTAAACGTTCACTATCGAAGATGAACTTAACATCGATGCAGGTAAGCATGCTCTGGCTATATATGTTTTTAATTTAAACTAGGAATTACTTTGGCCTCGGTGGATAACACCCTCCTCGATCTGCTTAATTCTTCATATCCTACTCAGCCTCATTCATTAATTGCTAATTATACCATGCCCTCCAAATATGGCAACTGCACGCGTCTGCTTAAAATAAAAAATAAGCTGAAAATCGGTTGTTGTTGCAAATAAAGTCGGGAAGAAGTCTCGATATTTTGTGGGAGTTTTTAATAAAACAATTATATTCCCCTCGCGCTTGTTGGATATAAGATGATTATAGCCAACTCGGCGCTACGCGCCTAGTTAGCTGTCTACCATTTCATATCCATCGCGCATTCGTGGAATAATTGTTAAATAGACGACTGGCAATAATCTTATACATTGAATAGTGCTTGGAACTGTTGAAACTTTTTACATAACATTTTGCATCAATCAGTTACAATCCACTTTTTACCTAAATAATCAGTCAGCACGCTTGGTCGACAGCGCTATCAAAAACTGAATTTTCGGGACATTCGAGGCTAGAATCAACCGGGCGGTCGCTTACGGGAACCAGAAAAAAAACAAAAGAATGTCAAATTTCTGGTTTAAAAAGAGGCCGCGGTCGCTAACAAATTTAAGTACTGTTCGCGTACGAGAGAGATTTGAAACAGCATTTGACAGAGAAATAAGACGTTTATTTTCAAAGAGGTCGCTAACGGGAGGTGGTTGCTTACGAAAAGGGGTCGCTATGAGGGAGTTGACCGTATTCAGGTCATGACAAGTACCGTATAACAGTTTTCCGGTACCAATCGTCATTCAGCGCCCTTCTGACATCGCAGTCGCAGGATTCTGAACTGAATTCCATTTAATTTTTAGTGACTTTTGGTCTGTTGAGTTACTTTCTGAAAAACTGAACACAGATTGTTCATTCATACCTTTAAAGATTTTTATATTAAAATTGTCCCTTCATTGATCCTAAAGAAATATAAGTAAAGAAAAAGTGCATTGCATTTGCGTTATAATATCTTGATGAATTGGGTAATCTTTATTGTGTATTTGAAAGTTTTTTAAAAATTGATTCATCGAGGGCACAACCTTATGTTCTATGTAAACAGAGGCGAACAAGAGGGAGGGATGGGGCCACGGAGGGATAGGGGGCTACAAACGTCTTACCGCAACGAAAAATCAACAAAGACCGCAAGCTTTGTCGAGTAAGACCCCAAACGCAATAATAACGTATCAAGTACGTTTGGAACCCCAATATCGCAATTTTATATAAAAATTACCAAAAGATTACCTTAAAATTTGTCCAATACCTCAGTGCCACAGATTTTTCTCCCACCCTGTCTCCCCGAGTCCTTTCACGTGTTAATCACCTCCCTGCCCAGGGGAAAAAGTTGCCAATCAACTGCTTTTGACATTGCTAGGTCTTTAAAGTTGGAAGGTGACCCATTCAGAAATCCAAGAGCAGCGATATTTGCTAAAGGCACTCAAGCGCTATTGGGTTATCTCTGAGAGATCGTATACCCACGTGACCATGATTCACGTGACTTTAAAAGACACCTCAGTACCCGGTGTGATCTTGTTAAAGGTGGCTCTGGTGCGGAATCGTACTGCGCCATCGAGAGAGACAATCGCCATAAAATGAGTTTGAATGCTGTCTGGAATTTTCGAATCATGCAAAACAAGCAAAATAGAATTGACAACAAAAACTGTTCGATCATGAAATCAAATGTGTTTTAATTTCCGTTTTACGTCGTTTTAAAGAAGGGAGAAGAAAAGAAAATCTTATGTGTTACCTAGCGAAGCAATGGGAAAACAAATTGTGAATACAAAGCCGATAGAGCTCGGTATGGATTTATCATGATTTAAAACTAAGGTACAAGTGACGATTTCTGCAAAGTTACACTTTTTTAGTAAAGTAATTCCGCGATGCCTTTCTCTTATATTCAGCGGTTTTGTTGTCTCGTTGAACAACGAATATTGAAAATTTCTCTCTCAGACAATAGTCATGTTTACTTTTTTTCCTCTCTAACCTGAAGCAACAGAAGTGAACACTTGCTACTAATTCATATTTGATTAGCCTTGCCTGTATTCATAATGGCGTTGGGCGCCCAGCTTTTATCCCAACTGTTCAAGCAACCTTCCTTCCGAACAAGACAGGCTCCGAAATGTAAAAGTTGACAAACGTTTCTTTTCGAGATACACAAGATGAGGGTCTCAATGGGGTGGTGGTTTTTACGGTTATCGGCTAAAATTTTGGCTCTTTTACGGCTATCGGTTAATTTTTTTCAGTTACGGTTAACAAAAAAGTAAAAAATTTATTTCTTTTGTTTCAAATAGTTAAATATTTATTATCCTGTATTTTTTGTATAAAGCAAAATAAAGGTCTTCGGATCATCTCGGGATGAAATAAGCAATTCTTTTGAAAAATTTTAACATATGATAGATCACATACTTTTTATAAAGTATTTCATTTCTAATATCATGTTACACATAGAAATGTCAATGGTCAATTTAAAAATAATCAAATAATCTTTGTGAAAAAGCAAATTAAAGCAGACACGCGAGCGCCCAACTCAAGGCCGAGGCGCGACATTCATTTATAACAGAAATGGTCATTTTCACACTAGACACGGATTATTCGTGTGAGACGGGTTATCCCTTTGTTGATTCGGGTCAGATAGGTAATAAGTCTTAATTTGAAAATGGAATAGTTTTAATTTTGAATGAACAATCCGCCTGACTTTATCCATCAATTTTGACGGACAGTTTGAAGATGGATTATCCATTTCAGAGAGCCTGTATACAGCAGCGGCCCTCCCCTCAGAAAAAAATCGGAGAAGGGGTGTCTGTGGGGGAGGGGGCGACCGTACACAGGCTAGTCTCAGACGAATAATCCATTTCTAGCTCTAGTGTGAAAACGGCCAATGAAAAAAGTTCCCGTGTCCAGTACTAGTGTTTTTAATGATAGCGAAGGACTGTACAGAACGACTGTCTGCCGTTGACTTGTCCGTAGGCCTCATCATTCCGCGCGGCTAATGCGTTTCGGGTCAAGTGGTCCGAGGGAGTTCGCCACCGAAATGCCTTGACTGAGATTGCGTGGGATAAAAGCTGTACAGGGACTAGGCATGGCAATGTCTACCGTAGCGTCGGAGGAAAACAAGAAATTGTTGTTTATCAGCAACATGTTTTACAAACAGTGATAGCTCTGCGTGTTGTTTCACTAGTGTTTTCAAATAATAATCCCCAGTAAGAAGCCACACTTTCGCTATGGAACAAATCACATGTAGTTCCCCAAGAGAGCGACGGAAATATAATGGAGACTAGGTCTAGGTCACAACTTACAGGCGCTTGGCGTAACGTGCGTACGGAGTCACAGTACCCAGGAAATAAAAAACGCATTCCGTAAACGCATTCCAATTTTTACGGCTATCGACTAAATTTTTTGGCCGTTTTACGCCTATCGGTTAACCCCATTGAAACCCTCCAAGATCCGATCTGAATTAAAAAAAGACTACCAATCATCTCCTCTTACTTAGATCACGTGTTTATAAGTTCGTGCACAGTCCTATCTCGTTGACAGCAGTGCCCTTGGAACCGTCACAACCTAGTCCTCATAAAAAACCGTTCTTCAAGAAATTGAAGAAGCTAGAGGGAATAGAGATTAACGTAATCACTACAATGTCCCGGTAGGTACAAAGTTCGCCCGTGAGACTAGGTGGAAATTGACGTCGCAAATTGCGTGACAATTTTATTGTCATGCACGTCTCAACCGTTTGGCGGCGTTCTCTCGCGGCTGGGGAAGATGTATCAATGTGCTCTTTAATAACTTTTTACATTGGAACCTCAATTTAACGAGCCTCTATGTAACGAAGTCCTCGGTATACCGAACGATTTTCTTCAGCCTGGCCAAAATTAAAAGTTCTAACGAACACAATCCACTCAAGCGGAAACGTAAAATATACCTCGATATTACGGGAAAATGTCGGCATGTGATAAAAGATGAATGCCAAACAGACCAAAAAGGATAACATTTATGTGTACAGTAGTTTTAAGCAATTTTGTTTGCTTGTTCTTGAGTTTCTAGTGCCGTAGCTATGTATAGTTCGGTACTGAAAGGTTATTACAATAATTTTTCAGATCCGGAAATGCTGGGTTTATATACCTCGAAATACCGAACGTTTTGGTAGTTTTCCCGAAAATTAGTTTAATGGAGGCGTTTGATATAACGAACCCTCAATATAACGAACATTTTTCCCCAGTCCCTTGGCACTTCCTGAAATCGACGTCACACTGAATCTCTCTGAAGTGCCGGGGATTGTTATGTAACTCCTCTTTACAACTCAATACATACATTGTTCAGCAGACATGTGACTAGAATGGGCAAATGCATCAGCCAGAATATTTTATCTTCATGTAACTCCAAATTCTCCTACTAGTGACCAAGGAAATGTATAACAATTTTCTGTTTATCACAGAAAATTTGTGAATAAAAAAACCTTTTAAAAAAACTCAGCGCCTTGGAAAAATTGTAGCCGTTTGTTTATTTAAATCCCAACGTGATGAAAAGCGGGGGAATCCCCGAATTCTACGCACTTGAGCGTGCCTAATGATAACATACAACCCATATGTAATTTATGACGCAAGTCAAGTTTGGAGTCACGGAATTTTACAGTCCTTGAGCTGAGAAAGAAAGCATTAAAACTCAGTGTTAAGTTCGTGAGGCTCGAAGCCTCACGCGCTAACAAACACGCGAACACTGCAACAGGGACACTGCAACATCATGGCCCACGTTGTCTTCCAGTTATGCGTCGTCACTTCTTTCTTCGTGGTCAAGACTGAAGCCTTCTTCTCTCAACCAGGTGATAATACTTACACTCCTAAGATTAGAAACCTCATTCAACTCCTTTTATATTGTCATGAAGTGTTTAGGCCAACACCGCGTCCCTTATCAAAGAGCAGGATGCGGTAAATACATTATGCACCGCTAGTAATGCAATACCGATCGACCGACGTTTATTTCTTGTTCATGAAAGCTGAATAATTTTCAGAAACACCAGAAAAATCGATCAATGTCATGTATACGAAGTCAAAATACTGTCGACTTCTTGTAGGGTCTTTGTAAACAAGAAAGAAATCAATTCTTATGATCCAAGCGTTTTATTTGCTATTCAGTTACGTCAATAGACTTATGTGTGTGCATATCACGGGTTTTTTTATGTGGTGTGGTAATTTCGTCTATGGATGGGTCATTTATTATCGTTAGATGATATGTTGTGCAGGTTATTACTGTAGCTTTATCGAAAATCAACCAAATGACGAACTCTTTTTCCAAGATTTTTGCTTGGCGTGAGGGGACATGGAATGTGCTTTGCAAGCAGTATTCATCCAGTACAATAGGTCACGAGATATCTGGTGTTTGACGAAAGACATCTGTAGAGTGGGTGTTGTTGACGGACTTTTTAGTTATGCGGAGGATATGCCGGTTGAGAGATCATTTATCCGTCAAAGCAATGACTCTAAGAAGCACATTTATGCCTCTAACAAAAATATTTGCGTGAACTCGCGTGCCTGACAAATAATGCTGGTGACGCATTTATGCTAGGATAAAGACGAAAGAAAGTCAGGAATTCACCCAAGCATAACACTAGGGCATTTGGAAAGAGACTTTGCATGTGTAAGCCCTCAAAGGAACTCTTTAGAGAAACGTCTCATATCGCCAGTGGTTTCAAAAAAAGAGTAGTCCTTTGAAGAGGCTGAACATAACCTTTAACGAATTTCTGGTCAGAATAAAACAAACACAAACCTTCCTATTTGTATGAACTCGCGTGCCTGACAAAACATACTGGTCACGCATTTATAGTTTGGATTAAAAAGAAGAAAGTAATTCGTCCAAGCATAAAACTAGTGCATCTGGAAAAAGGGTATGTGTAAGCCCTCAAAGGAAACTCTTTAGAGAAACGTGTCACGTCGTCAGTGATTTTTTTAAAAAGAGTAGTCCTTTGAAGAGACTGAACATAAACCTTTAACGGATTTCTGGTCATAGTAAAACAAACTTAAACCTGAAACAAGTCCTAACAAAGAAAATGCAAACGATTTCCATTCCTTAGTATTCATACGGGAAAAGGTTATTGCCCCGTACCCGAAAGGTTCTGGGAAGAGTTGGGCCGAAAGTAGTGGTGGGCAAGAACGAGAGAGCCTTAGTTGTAGGCCGTATCAGAGCCTTTGGATTTTGTTAACACGCTCAAAAAATCTAAGAGATTTTTTACCATAATGGCTCAAAATACACGTTGATTATCGTAGAAATGGAACGTATGGAAAGATTTTGTCAGGATGGCTTGGGATGGCTGGGGCCTAAGTAAGTAAGTAATATCGTGGAACCTTTAAGGAGATGTTAGGCGAGACGATTCGCAAGGACGATTTTTAGCGCAACACAGCGTTTCAATGTTGGAGCAATTTTGTAACTATTCGAAACAATGACGCAACAATGTTGCAACGCTGCGTTGCGCTAAAAATCGTCGTTGCGAATCGTCTCGTGTAACATTACCTTTAGACCCTGGTTAGATCTACCATGAAGTCCTAAACCAGGCTTCGTCACTTTTTAGGAGAAGCTGCCTCAAAACGTGGTCAGACACCACCTCCCACTTTTTTAGAGGCTCCTCAGGAAATCCACTACTTTGTAACAAGGAAGCAGCCGGCTAATCTGACATGGGTGGCAACTGACGTTTGCAAGATGCAGATTAAGTGTAACAAAGAGAAATTTAGAGATGGAAATAACCGAGTCTGCAAGCAAACTTGTAGAAAATGCAAAACGAGGAGAAGGACAAAAATTGTTAAGGTGAAAGATTTCCCTGAAGGTGTCAGGTCCATGACATGCCAGTGCAAGGTCTGGGGGACAAAAGTAATTAAAACTGAGAAGATCATCGTGGAGAAAGCTTGTGAGTATTTTAATGTTTAAGATGCTCAAACACGGTCCAAATTTCAGGAAAAAAAGAACACACATCATCATCGTACATTACTTACAATATTGAGAAGTATTTATACGGACTGCCAATTAGCCCCCTCCCCCCCCCTTCCACTCATACACCCCGCGATATAGGCCCATCTTCTTTTAAACTAAAAAATAAACATTTAGAGC